TTTAGAAGAAACTAATTTTGCAGTGCCCTCCTTCTGCCTTTGACCCCTTAACACAACCTGCATCAGTTGCTTCTTTACCACATGTAAAATAACCACAATACAAAATCAGTTTTTAGTAAAATGAGTGCCAATCGCATGCAAGGTGTTCAAATGATTTAGCTGGCCATAATCAGGTCAAATTTAAAGTCTATTACTTTAATTCCAAATAATGTGGTAATACATTATTCCAGAATTTTTTGGAACCTGGTGGCCCATTCTCTAAAAGTTGTTTTGACTGCACTGGCCTTTTGAACCTCTGCTCTTTCCCCTTTCCCTGTGAGTTAGTAACAGACTTTTTTTGATATGTTCTATGTCTGTCACATTTCATAGATCCTTTTGTTTTGCTCTCTTTTTTGGACTCTTTTCTGTTACCCTGACTTTCCTTCTCTTTTTCACCCATTTCCTGGTATTTCCCCTCTTTTTCCTCATTGTCTACCTCTTCTTCCTCCTCCCCTTCCCTCTCCTTCCTTTCCCTATTCTCCCCTTCCTCTTCTCCCTCTCCTTCCCTTTCTTCTTCCCCCTTTCCTTCATTTTCCTCTTCTCCTTCCTCTTCTTCCTCCTCTCCTTCATTTTCCCCTTCTCCTTCTTCCTCTTCCCCATCTCCTTCCTCACTTTCCCCCTCTCCTTCATTTTCTTCCTCTCCTTCCTCTTCTTCCCTCTCTCCTTCATCTTCTTCCTCTTCCCCCTCTCCTTCCTCTTCCTCCTCCTCTTCCCCCTCTCCTTCCTCTTCCCCCTCTCCTTCCTCTTCCTCCTCTCCTTCCTCTTCTCCCTCTCCTTCCTCTTCCTCCTCTTCCCCCTCTCCTTCCTCGTCTTCCTCCTCTCCTTCCTCATCTTCCTCCTCTCCTTCCTCTTCCTCCTCTTCCCCCTCTCCTTCCTCTTCTTCCTCCTCTTCCCTCTCTCCTTCTTCACTTTCCTCTTCTCCCTCTCCTTCCTCATCTTCCCCTTCTCTTTCCTCTTTACCTTGCTCCCCTTCTTCCCCAGTTTCCTCTTCTTCCCCATTTTCCTCTTCTCCTTCCTCTTCCCCCTCTCCTTCTTCCTCTTCCCTATTTCCCTCACTTTCCCCTTCTCCTTCCTCTTCACCTTGTTCCTCTTCTCCCTCTCCTTCATTTTCCCCTTCCTCTTCTCCTTCTTTGCCCTCTCCTTCCTCTTCATCTTCTTCCTCTTTTCCCTTTCTTTCTTTCTCTACCCTCTCTCCTTCCTCTGTTTCCCCATCTCCTTCCTCTTCCTTCCCCTCCTCTTTCTCTTTTTCTCTATCTCTTTCCTCCCCTCCATTCTTTTCTCCATCTTCTTTCTCCTTTCCCCCTTCTCCTTCCTCTTCACTTTCTCCTTCCTCTTCTGCTCTTTCTTTTCCCTCTCCCTTTTTCTTCTTCCCATCCTCCTCTTCTTCCTCTCCTTGCCCCTCCTCCTGCTCTCCTTGCTCCTCCTCCCTTTCCTCCTGCTCTCCTTGCTCCTCCTCTCTTTCCTCCTCTTCTTCTTGCTCCTCCCCTTCTCCTTCCTCCATCTCTTGGTTTCTTTCTTCCTGGTGGCCTTTGTCCCCCTCCTTTTTCTTCTGTTTTACCTCATCTCTTTTCTCCCACTCCTCCTCCTCTTTTAGGTACTTGCCTTCCTTATCCAGACTCTCCATTTTTCCTCTTCCTCCATCTTTCTCCCCTTCCTCCTTCCCATGCCATTGTTCCACTTCTGAACTACCCTCCTCATAGATTTGGTTCCTTTCACCTTCAGTCCCATCCTCTGCCTCTCCCTTGCCTTCACTCACCTCTGCTCTGTCTGAAAGGTCATCTGACAGGGTTCCTGCTTCCTCCTCCTTTGTTTCTCCTTCCACCTCCACATTTTCCTTATGTGCCTCTACCACTTGCTCCTCTATTCCACTTCCTTCTGAATCCTCTGTTCCTTCCTGCTCCTCTGGTATGTCTGACAAGTGGTCACACTTAAAATCATATTTTGTCATGAATCTGGATACTCTGGGTTCAGTCTCAAGTCCTTGTTCGACATATTTTCTGCTGAACCACATGTGATAATCAGTTTCCAGTTCATCCTCTTTCTCTTCACTATCAAATTCTATTGACTCGGGCTGATCCAATATGTCGGCTGTACCCATCTGTCTCTGGCTTTCACATTCCATGTAACTGTCTGGCTCTTCTATCAATTCTCTTTCAGGATCAAAGATCGTATCTTGCTGCCTACTTTTCCTTTCCTGAGTAAAGCCTTTGTCGTCTTCATCCTCAAAATTCACATCTTTTTCTGGTAACTCATCAAAGAACATATCATATGGTAAACATTCTATATTCTCTTTTCTTTCTTGTATATCTTTCAGACCTGCCATTTCCATCAGCTCAGTTTTCTTCTCAGACACTATTTCTTCTCCATCACATTCCTTTTCTGTGTCCTTAGTATCAAGTTCATCAACCTCACTTTTACTCTCATGTCTAAATATCTCTTTTTGCAAGCCCTCTTCATTGATGTTGGCCTCAGGGTCCTCCTGGTCTGAGTCATTATCTACTTCCTCATCTGTAAACGTTTCCATAGTCTTAGATGCTTGCATCATGAAGATCCCTTCATCTACCTGTTCCTTATATGCTTTCCCTTCTTTCATTTTTGATACCTCTTCATATTCATATTCATTACTATCATCATCATTTTCAGTACAAGCTGCATGCTGAATCAATTGGTCAACTGCTTCTTGTTTCTGTAAATTTTTTGAAGTAATCATCATACTACTATTAGTTGACAATGGCAACTTTTCTTCTATAAATTACTGCTACAATTTTACATTTTTAAAAGTAGAATAAAAATGTCCAGATAGAATAAAAATATCAGATATTTTTCTGAGGTTTTATTTTCTTTAGGAATAACTTATACCACTGTCTAGGTCTCCAGTATATCTAATTTTGACTTAGTAACATGTATCTGTGTTTGTTTAGCTTTCAGTTTTAATCATGTGCCTTAATTCTGCCAATCACAATTCCAATATTTATTATCTACCCTTTTTCTCAATTGGAGTAAATACTTACATTATGACATTTCTAGATTGATTTTGCAAGATGCTATTTCAAAATTTACACCGCACTTGCATGAATCATTTCAGTATAATTTTTCCACCTTCTCTATCATTTTTAATTTCCAAATTTTGATTAGTCTTTGAGTTCATGAAATCCACAAAATTAATCAATATATGAAACTTTTTAAAACTGAAAAAAATGAGTAGCTTATTTTTAGAAGAAAAAAGGAAAACTGCACATGAATTTTTTTTTAAAATCTATAAGCTAATAACAATATTTTTCTTTCCTAAACAAAATATTTGTATGAATTTTCAAAAGTTTTACCCTATTATATTCTTTAAAATAATTTGTAAACATGAAAAATCACTAAAAAGAAAAAATACTTAGGGCAGAATGTAAGATTTAGGTAAAAACTATGAAATCACACATTGAGATTTGAATGATATATCAACAATATAAAAATAATTTCCTGCTGAACAAAATAAGGCAAAACCAAATTGTTGACCTAAATTCTACAAGTTAATTAATTCAAATATTTGATGAATTTGGATCTCTGGATGGTAAAAGCTCACAAAATCAAATTTTATAAATTGTGATGAGTGTTAAGGCATAGGAAGAGGTTCAACTTTTACCAAAGAAATAATTAAAACAGGACAAGTTACGAATTAACAAACTGATATAGAGAAATGGTATAACAAATATGTTTTACTCACTAAAGTAGGCCTGATAGAGCCTAAACTTAAAAGGACTATCTAAAGTATGAAATACATATCAGCTTAAAAGGAAGTACTTTTCTATTATGTTCTAGGTCTGTCATTTCAAAAGTGCTAAAACTTGAAAGTTCTTTCCAGAGCCCTAAGAGAAACAGGCCCAACAGTCAGAACTGATTTCTAAATGTATGTGCCTTTCTTTTCCCAGAACAGTAAGGCAGCCCAGAAGAGGCAGAGCCCAGAGTCTAAGAGCAGAGAAAGGAAAGAGGAAAGATGGAAGTATAGTCAGTAACTAAAGCAGTTAACATTCATTGAGCTTCCACAACTGCGGTGGAAGCCATATTCAAAGGCATGCTGTTATTCACCATGACTCTCACTGATATACACAGGACTAATGAAGACTGGCTCTAAATTTTTATGATTTATCAAGATGCTCTTTCATTTCAGTGGCTTTGGTTTGAAGAATTTTTATCTTAATATGGCAAAGACACTAGAAATAGAAAATGTTTTTTACAGCCTCCTTCCTTTAATTTACATTTCTCTGCTTTATTTTTCCTAATCTCCAAACTCCTCATCCTTTTATCCCACTAGTTCTTAAAGCCAGGGAAAGCAAAAAATCTAACGGAAGGCCTTTATTTCTCCAGGGTTGTGGAAGACATAGACTACTCCTTCCTCTTGCTATTTGTTATTCAGTAAAGGTCTCCTTTTCACCCATAAACAGTCTCGAGTTTCCAAATATTTATTTTAATCATGTTTTATGCTATCCATTCCTTGATAAATTAAAAAGACAAATCTAAAAATTAGAAGTGATTATCAAATATTTTTTTACTGAAATCACAAAATAGCAGACCTAGAAAAAAATGTTAATATCACCCAGTAAAGTCAGCATAGTAATTCACCCAAAGTCATATTCAACCAGTCAGACTCTGATAAACAGTGGCCTCTTTCTATAAGTAAGAAATACAATTATGAACTATTGCTAGACAGAAGAAAATATAATTATCACAACTTAAGTTAGTAACTCCAAAGAACAAATTTCAGTAATGAAATTCTAGCATTCTTGCTGCATCACAGAAAATACATACCAACAGAACAAGCCAAATGGAGGTCATCTACATTGTGCTCCTCTGTCCTTTAAATTCTTAAATAAATGAATACTTACCTTTCTTGTGGTCTTCCCAGAAACTTTTCAAAGCAAAATAATTTAAACTGTTCTTACCTACCATAATAAAAATAACTCTCTATATTATACCTTTTGTTTTTGAATTGGCGAAAATGTTAATGACTTGTCATCAGAATTCAGGTTCATCATATGTGTCTGAAATAAAAAAGAAGTATATGTTCTCAAAAATATAGACTATATATAGGCTAATGCAGGCTATATATATGATCGTGCATTCTAAATACACACACACACACACACACACACACACAGAGTAAAATGAATGCCAAACAGTTCAGACAGTAATATAATCTACTCTCAATTGCCATGCTAATGGTGTTAAGATAGAAATAAATTTTATCATACATTAATTAAACTTTGTTTGCTAATTTTTAACCAATAAAGTTGGTTAAAATTAGCAAAACCAAAGAAATAGTTTTTTTGTGCATGAGAATATAGAAGACATATACATACATGTTCACACATAAACACATGAACCAAAATTTATACCAAACTCATCTACATAGATACAGAATCATTACCATATTTAAGATATCATTAGTTTCTTCAAGGCTTTCTGAATCTGCTGCTGAAGAATTTTCTGTCTCTTTCTCTTTGGTCATGTTATCTTGAAAAATGTCTGAATGATGAGAAGGAAAAAGGAAATCCACATTTCAATAGAAATATAAAAAGCAACTAGACAGAAATTCTATAATACAAAGTGTGAGTACAATTTTACCAAAGGTCCTTTGATTTAATGTCAGGGGAGCTGAATAGAAGTCAACCACAGTGATAATGTGTTTTAAAATCTCTTTTTCAAGGTTTAAGAACTTTGACACCCATTAGATAATAACTGTATCATTCATATGGACAGGTTAATACTGTTCCTTTGGGATACCTACAACCCACATATTGAGCACTGGATGCTAGCCCCAAGAAAGGTCCCAATCACCCATATATTCCTGGCTTTTTACCCCAGTGTAGTTCCCCTATACATCATATCAGGCTGTATGGCCAATTAAATAAAGCAGACATAACTATGATGTCATTCTAGCTCTGCTTTGCTACATGCATGCATGTTCTCTCTTTTGGATCACTTGCTCTGGAGGAAGCCACTTTGTGAGCATCTTTACATAGAAGCCTATGTGAAGAGTACAGGAAGCCCTCTGCCAATAGCAACATGAATGAGCTGGAAATTCAACTAGAGCCCTGTATGACAGTGTGACTTTAACTCGATGAGTGAGCCTGAGCCAGAATTACCCAGTTAATGTGATCCTGGATTCTTGACTCTCAGAAACTATGTGAAATAGTATCTGTCATTTTAACTTGCTAAGTTTTATGGTCATTTTTAAATGTAGCAACAAATAACTATCTCAAGTACCTTTCACAGAAAATGGCAAGTTATTATATCATAAAGCAGAAAATTAAAAGTCATAAGCTCTATTTGACCTTACATTTTTCTAAAGTTTCTCACTATATCCTCTTTGATCACCTGTCCATTTATTTGAGGGGAGTTTCTTAAATGAAGTCTTAACTACAAATGCCAGTCCACACTGATCTCTCCATTTTAAATCTATTCAACTCCATGAGCAAGTACTCATTTTGTATCTATTCCATGTGTTGTAATATGCAGAGACAGTAACTTAAATTTTAACTGCTAATTCTTTTGTTGTTCATTATCTATATTTAAGTTTTACAATAGATGTTGATATACATAGACTATAAGTTCATTAAGAAGTAGTAATTATCAAGGGAATATAAAAACATAGAGGAAAGAGAAATCACACATGAATGTTGGGAATCAGAAATGGTTTCACTAAAGAGGTGCATGGAAGGATGAGTAGTGTTCTGAGAGGCAGGCAGAGATAGAGCTGGAAAGGGAATAAATGAATTCCCATTCCTAATAAATCCAAGGAGTAGGAAGAGAAGCACATGGAAGGAAGCAACTTGTGTTGAAGGCTGCCAATGTCCTAAGAACATATACTCTTTTGTGTGTTGGATTAATCCTATGATAACAAGAAAGGTTAAACATTATATTCTCATTTTACGAATGAGAAAAGTATACTTAATTTACCATTATGGTACCTAATGTCAATCTCAGGTCTATGTAACTCCATAGCCCATGTTCTTTCCAGTAAGTCAGACTCTGAATTGCTCAGTTTGATCAAAATCAGGGGTTACATTTTTTTTTCTCTAAAAGACCACACAGTAAATATCTTATGATTTGTGAGCCATACAGTCTCTGTCCTAACTTAACCTCTGACATTGCAGAATGAAAACAGCCATAGACAACACATGAAGGAATGGGTATGAATGGGTTCAAATAAAAGTTTATTTACAAAAACAGGTGGCTGGCTAGATTTGGTCCATGGGTCATAGTTTCCAGACTCCTGATTTAAATAGAGGTTATAAGAAAAAAAGGTTACTGAGAGAGAGAGAGAGAGAGAGAGAGAGAGAGAGAGAGAGAGAGAGCGCCAGAAAAGCAGTTGGGAGTTATAAGGAAACATTTATTTTCATAAATATCAGGGATCCTCTGAAGACAGTGGAGCAGATAGGATCTGAACTGGACTTAAGGGAGATTAATGTGAAAAGTGTTACACTGGATATACTGGAGGTAAGAAAATGTAGGTTTAGAAAATAGAGTAGCTTTTTTAAGCTGATGGCTTTGTCTCAGATGAGAAAACAGAAATCACTAGACATGATGTGCTTGATCTTCTCACCAACATATATTATTACCTAAATTTGTGCCCAAGTTCTCATTTTCCTGTTAATGTAAAATGTCTTTCCTATTACCAAAGACTGCTCTGTATGCCAGCCTCTTCTGTCTTCCAAGAGCTTTTGTCTCCTAGGGCTACCAAGATCTCCTGATTATAGGTATACACATGTGTTCCAGTTTTTCCCATGGATCCCACAGTTCCCTCTAGCTGCCTGCCAAGTGTTCTGGACTATCTCATGACCAAATAAGCAAAATAATGATCTACACAGCCTATCTCCTCTTCACTTCCTCATTCCCTATTCATGCTTTAATACTTATCATTCTGGCTTCTGTGATCTTTCCCTGGAACTGCTCTTTGTTGAGGTCACCAGTAATCTCCAGGATACCAAATGCACTGGATGTTTCTTTGAGTTCTTTTCCCTTAATCTTTGAGCAGAGATTTGCATTCATGCCTCTACTTTTTCCTAATTTTCCTCCTCCTCCTCTCTTACTGACTGATGAGATCAAGAAAGATAAATATTCTTATGTCTATATCCTGGTCCCTCTTCTCTTCTGACTCTACTCTCTGTTGATTTCACCAACTTTGTACATTTTAAATACCATTTCTCTACTGATGGTTTCCAAATTTTATCACTAGTCCAGAGCTCTTTTCTGAACTTTAGGCTATTTTTCAACCGCCTGCTTAATATTTCCATTTGCGTGTCTCATAGACACCCCAGGCTCAATTCTTAAATTTCTTCCTCAAACTTGTCCATCATCCTATTGCTTAGGAACTACCCTTGATTCTTCCCTTTATGTCATCCCTATGTGTAATCTATTAATACGATAAGCAAGTCTAGTTGGTTATATGTCTGAAACATATCATCTCAACTGCAAAGACCTTGGTCCACACATTGCTATCTCTTGCAAAAAAAAAAAAAAATCTGACAAGTATTTTTCTTCTTCTTCTAATATGGCTTCCCTAGAATCCACATGGAGGTAGAAATGATCATTTTAAAATATCAATTGGATTGGAACATATCAGTCCACTCTTTAAAACCCACTAATTGCTTTTTATTGTATTTAAAACCATTCAAGCTTGACACAGTAGTGCACACCAGTAATTCCTGCTACTAAGTAGGTTCAGGCAGGGGGATCAAAGTTTGAGGACAGCCTCTGCAACTGAGAGACGCTGTCTCAAAATAAAAAAGACTGGGGATGTAACTGAGCAGTAAAGTATCCCTGGGTTCCATCCCTAGTGACATACACACTAACACACACACACACACACACACACACACATAGAGAGAGAGAGAGAGAGAGAACCATTCAAATTGAATAGGCTCTTTCTGGCCTATAAACTGAGGAATAATTTTTCACTGTCTTTTCTCCAACATCATCCTGTTCTGTCTTTTCCCTCACTTTAGAGCCCTACTGGTCTTTCCTTTTCTTTGCCTCTTATTTTCTCTGCCAGGAATGCAACTACTGTCAATTTATGTGGCTATTTCTTATCCTTTATGTTTTAGCATGAATGGCATCTTCTCAGCAAGACCTACCCTGATCCATTTTCTTCCCTTATAAAGACAAAAGTCTGCAAATAATTTAGAACAAATCATATTATATACTGAGTATAACTTATAAGCTACTTATTATAAAGAAAGTTTTATTAGTCACAAAAAGATAGGGGAAATTTTTCCTTTTGATCTAGGTACAAAATTATGTACATATTTACATTTAAATCTCTTGAAGTGGGAAATGACTTTCTTTCCCCAAACCACATACTTTTCTTCCCTGTATACAATGCTTGTCAGAATCTACTACTATACTTTCCATGTCTAGGACTGAAAAGCATCATTTGACATTGATTTTTTTTGGGGGTGGAGGGTCCTGGGGTTGAACCCAGGGGCATTTAACCACTGAGCCACATCCTCACCCCTTTTTTTTGCATTTTATTTAGAGATAGGGTCTCACTGAGTTGCTTAGTGCCTTGCAAAGTTTCTGAAGCTGGTTTTGAACTTGTGATCCTCCTGCCTCAGCCTCCCAAGCTGCTGGGATTACAGGTGTGTGCCACCGCACTCAGCCTTGACACTGATTCTTATTTCAAAAAGACCATACAGGAGAATTAGGGTTGTAGCTCAGTGGCAGGGCACTTGCCTAGCACATATGAGGTACTGGGTTCAATCCTCAGCACCACATAAAAATAAATAAATAAAATGAAGGTATCGTGTCCATCTATGACTTAAAAAAACAACATACAAAAGTTGTGGTGAAGAAACTCAGCTCATTATCAAGGTCCTGTCTAGATGATAGATCACAAACAATAAAAAGTATGTGCCATGGTTCTTAATTCCCAATGTACAGGTTTATCTTTCTCTTTTCTTTTTTGGTACTGAGGAGTGAACCCAGGGGGCACTTTATCACAGAGCTACATACCCCATCCCTTTTTAGTTTTTGAGATAGGGTCTCTCTAAGTTGCTTAGGGCCTTGCTAAGATGCTGAGTCTGGCTTCAAATTTGTGATCCTTCAGCTTCCCAAGTCACAGAATATGGGCCTGTGCCACCAAGCCTAGCCAGGTTTATCTACTTAAATTTCAAATCTACTTCTTCTTCTGATCTCCTGGTCTTGCGCCCATCATCCAAGCATACACCCTCTAATACCATACAGACACTCCTTCAAGATATAAAGTCTATGAACACAATCATGTGGAAGAGGTGTATAGTAGTAAAAGAGTTGGGATTACAATTTAAAGCATGAATATCTAATAGGGACTGAGATAGAGGTGTTACTGATAATCATAAGTATATTTATTTAGGGGTTTCTAGAGGTGATGAGCTCAATGCTAAATACTTTACATGCCTGATATCACTTAATCATTGAAATCATTCTCTGAAGTAGGCATCATTAAATGATAAGGAAACTGAGGCTTAGATTTAGTCACATAGTTGATAAATGTCAGAGCTGGCATGCAACCCTAGATCAATTTTAATTCCATATCCCATGCTGTAACCACTATGAATCACTGCTTAAATACAGAACTTGACATAGATCCAGAAGACCTGCATTCAAATCCTGTCCACTTCAGATATAAACTGACTGACCTTGGGTAAGTCACTTGATTTCTTCAGGTCTAGCTTTTCTCATTTGTAAAATAAAGAATATAATTCCCACTTATTTCATGAAGTTGCTTCAGGTTTTATAGAAAGTAATATAATAATGGCATGCATATTATCCATTACTCTATAAAGACATGCTGCTATGGTTACAAGATTCATTGATGGTGCTTTGTATTTGTAAGGGTATTTCTGGGTTTGAGTTCAAGTGGGTGATATCAGGCTCTAATTGGGGATGAAACAATTTAATGAACTGGAGAAAACATCTTAAGATAAAACATGAAAGCAATAGGAATAAAAGGCACATTTCTCCTAAGAGCAGGCAGGGTGACAAGTATTACCTGGATCCAGTGGCTCCGTGAAGTCAGAGGTGCATTTCTCTGAGAGGTAATTAATAGGCACAGGGAAAGAGATTGAAGAAGGGGAAAAATAAGGTACGGAGGCAGTCTCCTCTAATGGAGGTAGTGTTCGAACCATGTGAATAGATTCTGGGGATTTCTCCTTTAAAATAAAATAATAAATATCTGTCAAATGATGTTATATATAACATTGGCATAAATTTCCTTGCGGTTGCTAAAAATATTTAAGAGAAAGAGTCCAAAGTCTACCAACATTCCATAACATTCACTTCTTAATAATCCCCAGGGGATCAAAAACGTTTTGTTCTGTTGTTTCTGTATCTTAGTTGCTCTAAATTGTCAATCGGAAAGCCTGTTTTTCACATTTTGGGGAAAAAAAATGTGTGTGTGTGTGTGTGTTTTCTCTGCTTTCTCTTATAGAAACAAAACTTTGCTCATGAGATATAAAAAATTACAAAACATGGGTGGAATATTTCTCAACCTTTCCATATATACTTTTTGTAAATAAAAAGTCACACTTAACTTTTACTCCAAAAGGAAAGAATTTAAGAACTTAACGTAATTTTCAAAGAGGAATTTCTCCTTTAAATATTTGGCATTTTCATTTTTTAAAAAAGTATAAGTGTCACTGAAACAGTAATTTTAAAGCACATGAGAGCACTAGAGCAGATTATGCTTAGTGAAGCTAGCCAATCCCTAAAAAACAAATACCAAATGTCTTCTTTGATATAATGAGAGCAACTAAGAACAGAGCAGGGAGGAAGAGCAGGAAGAAAAGATTAACATTAAACAGATACATGAGGTGGGATGGAAAGGGAGAGAAAAGGGAAATTGCATGGTAATGGAGGGAGACCCTCATTGTTATACAAAATTACATATAAGAGGTTGTGAGGGGAATGGGAAAATAAACAAGGAGAGATATGAATTACAGTGGATGGGGTAGAGAGAGAAGATGGGAGGGGAGGGAGGGGGGATGGTAGAGGATAGGAAAGGTAGCAGAATACAACAGTTACTAATAGGGCATTATGTAAAAATGTGGATGTGTAACCGATGTGATTCTGCAATCTGTATTTGGGGTAAAATTGGGAGTTCATAACCAACTTGAATCTAATGTATGAAATATGATATGTCAAGAGCTTTATAATGTTTTGAACAACCAATAAAAAAAATAAAAATAAAAAAATAAAAAATTAACTCTAAAAAAAAAAATAAAGCACATGAGAATCTCTAAATTTAATTGAAAGAAAATATTCCTTTTCTCCAACTAAATTCCTTCTTGGTTTTTCATGTTTCATAGTTTATAGTATATAACCTTCCACCACATGAGGTCTAACTAAAAGATAAAAGAATATAGCATTAGGCAAGATGGTGAAGTCCTAGAGATGTGCTGTACAACATAGCGCTGTGCCTATGTTAATAATACTGTATTATATGCTTAAAAATCTGTTACATGGGTAGATCTCATGTTCTTACTACAATAATAGAAAAAAGGGTGTGACAAGTTAAAGTAGAAGATGAATCACATGAAGTTAAAAAAACAATGTAGCATCTACTCTGAGGTGTAAGAAAGGTCTGTAAAAGGATGCTTTGTATACTATCACTGTCTACAAGCAGAGGTTATCCATGATAATTTGAATTGTCTAATTTGTGTCTTTAATGGCTTAATTCTGCACTCACTCTAAAAGTCCAAAATCTTCAGCTCTAATCACTTTATTAGCAATTTTATCTGAGAAGAGCCTTTGATTATATAAAGAAAATAGATTTTTTTTTCTTCATGTTTTCTTAGCAGTGCTATACAATACTATTATATAGAATAGGCCACAACTGTACCCGCTCTCTTCGCCGCAGACGTGCTGATAAAGTTCTATGCAGTAAATTTCCTGAGGTCAGATCAGTGGTGGACAGAGAATTAGCTGCAGGTGAGGAAGAATCACTTATTTCATCAAATTCAACTTCTCCTGATATATTGAGCCGTGGAGTGGCAAAAACTAGCATGTGACATCCACCACAGGCAACCTGCAAGCATAAAGCCACAGAAAAATTAATCAACATTGGATTCGAACACAAATGGATTTTGTAACAATTATCAGGTCAGCTACAAGAAATTTACTTAGTGTTACACAGCAGACTTCCTAAACTGACCGACTCACTGATTCTCTTTTAATCTCTCTTCTCCCTCTTTTCATTTAGATATACATGTGTGAGTGTGCATGTATACATCACATGTCTGAATTATATCTATGTGAATTAATGTATATATTCTTTAAACACTACAATTGAAAATTAGAACAAGTTTAATTCACCATTTGCTTTCATTTAACATAACATAGAGGGAAAAAGTACTTGTCACTACATGTTTCATTACAAGTTAGAAGGTGTTGTATTTTCAACTGGGAGCAATATTAAAAACTTTTAAAAACTATTCAGAGAAGATCTACTGGGAAATAAAATGAGCCAAGAATAAAACAGTCTCCTGAGATAATTATATATCCAAAGCTTTTTCTTTACATGAATATTTTCTACATTTAAAGCTTAAAAGACCTTAGAGAAAAACAAGAATTCACAATGATGGAACAATGAAAAAGAATTTTGAGGTATCAATGGCTTCTAAGAAAATGCCAAAAAAGATCCCACAGTGTATTTTGGGGGAGGTACTGAGGATTGAACCCAGAGGCAATTTACTACTGAGTTATACCCTCATCCCTTTTGATTTTTTATTTTGTGATAGGGTCTCACTAAATTGCTCAGGCTGACCTTGAACTTGTGATCCTCCCACCTCAACCTCCAGAGTCACTGGGACTACAGAGGTGCATTACTATACCTGGCCCCAGTATTTTTAATACATAGATTCTAGCCATTTTATAGTGTTTTGACTATACCTTTCTTTTATAATATTTTCAAATTTAAAATTCATGAACAATTTTATTTATCACCATTTGAAGTGATAATCCCTGTAAGATTATAAACCCAACGAATGAGGATTAGTTTCTTCATCACTGAATACTCTGTATTCCTAATAATTAATCCAGTATCTTGCACATAGTCAAATCAACAAATGGTGCTCCATAGTATGAGACAATGCATCTTTGGAGAAGTAAAATTATTGTCAAATAAACAGAATTTTCACTAGTCTATATAGCTCTTAACTAGCAAAAGTATTAGAAACAATAGACATACAATGTGTGATGGTAATGTTAAACTAAAGCCACACATTCTTATCTAAATAATATTTAGTCAATAAAACATTTTCACACCTCTTCATTTGTTATCAGATTCCTCTGGTACAGGATTTGAGAGTCTCAGTAACATTTAATTGCACAAATATTTACTGAATACTACTGTGTTTCAAGAGACAAATGAAAATACAGCAGAAGAGTTAAGATTGCAACAAAAAGGAAAATGTTAAAGGAGGAAAATTAGGAAAGGGGCAGATTTTCAGAGTGGCATAATGTATGAAATTTGACTTTTAGAAACTAGTTGTATTGAGTAGATAAATATATGACAGTCTCTAATATAAACACAAAGGTAAGTATTATCTATGAAATACTGAAAGACTCAATTATAGAAATATAAAAAACATAAGGAGGGGAATGTGATAACCTTACCAAATGAACTGTAAATTTCAAAAAATTAGAGCACAAAGTTGGAAAGAATTGATTGGTAAAATTCTCCAGTCCAAGTCCTAATTTTCCATGTCGGCCATCTCCAAAAGTATACATAAGGCCTACATCTAAAATGCAAAAATAAATAATTAAATAAGGAGAATTATACAAGTGTTACTCGCATTCATCTGTTTATAATCAGATGAATATATTAATTCACACTGCAGTTATAATTTTCCCATCAAATTCTACATTGAATACTCTGGTCCATTGATCTTTCCACATACACTGATTTCTATGGTCCTATACATAACAATATGCAGTAGATATTCTGAGAACAAATCACTAAACCCTGGTGGTTGGTGAAGTTGATGCCTTGTGGTGCAAGAAATTATATGGAACACCAACAATACAGCATGAGATCTTGTGATGTACATCATATTCTCAAGGAGAAAGAGATGCTTGTATTCTGATCTCTTATGTTGTGATATAACCTATTTTATTTTTTCCTCAGATCACTGATTGATCAGTTTCTCAACCTCAGCACTACTGACAGTTGGGCTGAATTATTTTTAGTTGTGAGAGTCGGTCCTGTTCATTGTAGGATGTTTAGCAGCATTTTTGGCCTCTGCCCCACTACATGCCAGTAAAACTCTCCTCTGCAGCTGTGACAGTCAAAAATTTCTCCAGACATCACATCTGTCTCCTGGGGGGAACAAAATTGTCAGTGGTAGAGAACTACTGACTTAGATCAATCCAACTCCTCTCTTTTCTTAATTAGGTTCCTGGACTGAATAATGCTGCCTAAAGAACTACCTACCATAAGCCAATCAATAATGCTGACCAGTCCCTATACCAATAACTGGGTCTCATCTATAGCTGAGCTGCTGATAAGTGATCTGGTTACTTCTCTCCAGTTATCTTTTTTTGCCTGCTACCATAGCAGATATTCTGAACCTCAGCTCCTCTTCTCAGGCCTCTCCTCCATATACTGCATCTCAAGTGAGGTAAGTGCCATGGAAGCAGAATTAATGAGTGACAATGTGTGTGCAGAGAGGGATTTCCCTATAGTTTGAGGATTAGGGAAAGCATTCAAACTGAAACCTAAAGGATGACTAGGGTTTAGCTGGAAGAAGAAAGGAATGAAGAATTCTCCAGGCAGAGTCAGCAGTAAGTAGGAAACACCTGAATCAAGAGAAATCAGAGCTAAGACAAGAAGGTGAAGGCAACCAACAAGCCCAAAGCACAAAGGGGAAAGTGTATGAGATGAGTCTGAGGAGGAAGATGGAACCATATCTCAGAGGATTCCATTAGTTCAGATTATAAATTTTTGAATTCTAAAGGCAAGAAGAAGCCAAATGAATGGTTTTAGGCTGGGAAATGATTAGATGATATTTAGGTACTTCTGGTTTAAGAAGGCAAAGTAACTGCCTACCAAGAAAATATATAAAAATTGACTGAAAAATGACTGTAAATAACATAATTCAATAAAGTGATAAGTTCAAAAATTAACTTATAGAAATAGATTTGTATAAATAAGCAATAACCAGTGTTTAGATGTGTTAGCTCTTATAACTCTATTTCCTTTCTTTATATACTCTATTACTGTTATCCCTTCCTCTCCCTTCTTTTGATCCCAATTTCTTTGTTCAAAAGTGATTTTTAAGGCTTGCCTTTCTAGTTTGATTATCTTATGCCTCAAAAACTAAACTCTGATCCAAGCTGCCTGAGTACACTTCAAACCTCAGAGTGATTTAAAAAATATGAGCCACTGGCTATAATGAGGAACTGATAAGAACTTATAGATAACTCAGTATACACATCTCATCAGTCTAGAGGGGAAAAAAACTACACTTGTCCTCTGGGGAAGACAGAAGAGCAAAAAGGCAAGTGAAGTTTATGTTCAATTATTTGTGATATAACTCTTTTCATTAAGAAGAAAGACACTATGAAATTTTAACTAAATAACCTAATTGTATATTAGATGATACATGAAAGTTTGTTTACCCATCAATTGCAATTTGGAGTTGATGAAAAATGGCAGTAAGGACAGAGAAACTGAGATTAGGACCCCACAGTAAGGGACACATATCAATTCTAATGAGACAACAAATGAATAACATTTCTTTACATTCTATACAGTACTATTTCATGCCATGTTAACAAGAACATAAATAATTGATGATAGGCAGGTTATCCTCTCTGAAGAGTTCTGTGGGGAAAAAAGAACTGTTTACCTTGTGTGTGCTGATTCCTACACTTCCCCTAACCTGTTATCATTAGATGAGCTCCACTGTAGCAGTAGCATTTTTAGAAAGAGGAAAAAAGTAGAAATACAAGTATCTGGATTATTTCAATATACTAGATGATTTCTGAATATTTGGTGCTTTATTTCATCTTCAGATAGAAATAGTGAAATTACAGATGGTTTTCTTATAAAGCACTTAAGTTTGTGGAGTCTATCAATTACCTATAAGTAAGTGACTGAATTATTTTGGGGAAGCATTTTCTTGAGTTCTACACTATTAGCAGAACCTAATTTCTGAAGTTAAGAAGCAGGCCCAAAGGAACATCTCCCTGGATAAAGAGAAGCCACAAAATTGAGAGATGTATTCACTTGGGGGTTTTTGAGGTACCTTTCTCTCTACCACTGTGGAAAGAGGAGTTATTCCTGAAAACGCCTCCTGGTGGCAAAAGCAGCATAAAGAATTTACTCAGCCTGAATATAGCTCTGTCACAATGAACATGAGAATGTTCTTCTGAAAAACTTCTTTCTTTCTTCCCTGTGGCTTGCACAGCGTTAAAAGCCTTCAATTTCAGTAGGATTCTAACTTTCCGCCAAAGTACAGTATATTGTGGTCTTCTGACATCAGCTGGTCTATTTTGAGGTTCTAAATCTTCAGATCTTTTACTTTTTTTTCATGTTGGGGATTGAGTCCAGAGTCTCATACATGCTAAGCATGCATTCTATCACCTAACTAAAACCCCAGACCCTACATTTATTATAAAATGAATTAAAATAATCAAAAGGACTTTACAACTTTATACTTTGGGATATTAATAAAAGAATTCCAATTTTCTCAATTATTAATTCTTTTACTTAAGTTAGATACATTCATTCCCTATATTATTTAGTTTATAATAAAACACACCCAGTTCTAGAAATATAAAACATAAAAATCTAATCCATACCTGTTATCAAAGCTGTGTGATTTTCTCCACAGGCAATATAACTTACTCTCTGGTCCTTCATATTTGCAATGACTTTGGGTTCTGAAGTTTCAAAAAGAAATGTGCCAAGGCCCAGCTGACCAAACTGCCCTAGCCCAAAGGTATACACAGTTTTCTCTGAAAGGAAAGGCACAATACAAGAAAAGGATTACATGGAAGCAGACACTGTCACCATCATATCTAAAAAGATTGTGACATTCTTCCTTTTATATAACAAAGGTAACTTTTCTCTGAAAGAAATACTAATTTAAGAATACTAATACTTTAGTATCATTTTTTCAGTGATAAAGACAAAAATCAAAGGCACACAATTAGTTGCGTGTGGCAGTGCATACCTGCAATCCTGCCTACTTGGGAGGCTGAGGTAAGAGAATCACAAGTTGGAGGCCAGCCTTGGCAATTTAGCAAGACCGTGTCTCAAAATAAAAAGGGCTGGGGATGTAGCTCAGTGGTAGAGCATTCCTGGATCCAAACAAAAACCAAAAACGAAGAAATAATAAAGAAAAGGTACACACTGTAAAAAAATTATGGCAGGTGTTCAGTTTTATCTTTCATATCCATAACCACAAAAGTAACTTCTATAAGTAAGAAACTGATACAATAGAAGATACATAACTCAAGGAACTAACCAACATGTCCCTATAATTACCATGTCAATTCAAAAATCATAAATTTTCATAAAGGCAATTTCTTTCACTGCCACAAATAAAAATGTGAATAGTGTCTCCTACAAAAATAAGCTTCTAACTTTTAAAAGAAGTTTAATAAATCTATTTTATGAAACATAATTTCTGAAAATAATTTGCAGAGAAATTAAGATTTATGATGGATATGCTATATTCTGTCACAAGTAAAGCTCCTTTATTAGGAAATGCAATGCTGAAGAAAGGACAGGAGAAGCTTTCCTCTATACTGATACTTTTGGGGTGAATACAAAGGAGCTCCAATAACTCCATTAGCTCATTATTTTCTAGAAATGCACAAGTACAAAAGCAGGATACATGCATGGTGACAAATGGGTTCTTTTAGACACAATTTCCCTGGTCAATGTGTTAGGAAGTACAGTGTCCTTGGTTCAATCATGTGTAGAAAGAACAAGAAATCTGCATTAGGGCCCAAACTCAAATCGTGGTTATTACCAGCTGTGGCAAGTAGATAAGTTTCTTAGATTCTCTGATGTTATAATCTTTATTTATTTCAGGTAGATTTGAAGACATTTAGTTTTAAAGAACAATTTATCTTTGAAAAAGTCATCATTTAATCAACCCATCTAATTCTGGCAATTGCAGGGGTTACTGATGAATTCAAAACTGTCTAATACCACATCATTTTACATCATTTTCTGCCTAATAAGAATGTTTGCTTTATCAGTAAAACATAGATATTACTCCTTATAGAAAATATGCTGTGTCAAGGATATGAAGCCATACTGAGGCAATGGCAAAACACATTCTTGTTTTAATATAAAAAAATCTTTTAGTTAATTAATAACCATGTGGTATATTTCCAGTTCTAAATGTTCAGCTTAATAGTAGAATGTTGGGTAAATTAAAACAATTATTTACTGTTAGCTTATCAACAATTACTCAACTTTCCTTGGGCTGTCTGATATTAGCCTGTGAAATGAGGCCATTTAGGTAGGCAGCTTAATCATATTTTAAAAGTTTCATTTTATCCTGTTAGGTTCACTTTCAGGTGCTTGGATGATTAGTGATGACAGCAGTTTCTGGTTTTTAAATATCTAAAACTGTTTCAACTAAAAATAGTACATATAAAAAACTAATATAATTTTTGGCCATATCACCTTTGTGATATTTAACAGTGCAATTTATTACCCTGTACAGAACTCAGGTTTGTCCAAACATAATCTAGAGAAGCTAAATTATCATTTGCCTCAGGACCCACAGACTTCATTGTGGACCCCTCTTATAATTGGCCTTTCTCATCTTTTGGTAACTGCTATGGGTAATGTAAAAGATTACATCTATCACTCTGTCTCAGTGTGTCCCAAGTTCCAGTCTGGCCCTTTCTCCACAGCAGTCCACTGTTCCTGCTTCTGAGGAGAAACTATAATCATGCCATCACTACAAGCCGTAGTTGTATTTTCTAACCTACTGTGGTCACATGCCTATAGTACCTTTTAGATAAATTGATCAGCAATGATCTGCTTATCTTTAAAATGGTTTAATGAGTGATATCCAAACTGATTGTAAGATCAGAGTTATAGACACAAAAAAACAAAGTTGGGGAGGGCCTCCGTAGAATCATCTAATCACTACTTAAGTGAAAGGAATGATATAAGAATAGATGATTACTTATTTTACCGTAAGTTCTCAGAAAGTATTCCATAATTTTCTTAATTATCCAATTTAGTACTTAGTGAAAATGATGATCAACATACTCTTCAGGTCCATTTCTTCATTATCTAGGACTAAATATTAAATATTTCTATCTAATTCCAGTACACAGGTTCCTCACCAGTGGTGGCTAATAACAACAAAGCTCTTCATTTCATAGATTCATGGAGCAATGTGGAAAATAGGCAAAATAGTGAATTTTCCATATAGATAAATTTGTACAATCTAACTAGATATATTTTATTACAAAATTAGGAGCTTTTGTTTTGAAAATGTTCCTTATTTTATGACATGATAGTGAAAACAGTCACTTTTTTCAATGCTCATATTTAAGCAAATGCAAGTCAGAATTTGACAACCATCTGTTATTTCTCATTATTTTTCTAACTTAAAGTTTAAATTCTACTTAAAAAGAAAACAAGTTTTTCACTGTTTCCAAGGTTACTTATAATTTATACAAATTTTATCTTCATATTTTCCCCTGTATTACAAGTTTTTCTCTTCTATTCCCCTGTTCAGTCTACCACAATCAGAAAGACAGGATTTTTTTCCTGCATCTGTAGTAGAAACCTTTGCAGTAGACAGTAATTGCTCCAGATCTGTCAATAAATATATCTCATATTTAAAAAAAAAAAAAAAAAAAAAACCTTCACTGATCTGTGAGATCCCAAAGTGCAAAAATCTGGAGAGAAAAATCAATTTCTGGAAACATGATTTGTAAACTCAAAATCAAATTCACAAAAAGCTAAATGTATAACAGCACAAGAAAAAAAAATCACACTTTAAGTGTATTCATAATTTTAAAGAAAAATTTAAAGTATCATTGATTACTTTCTTGTTCACATTATATATTTTACAATATATAGTTGAATGGTTTATTATAATTATATAATCAATATCTGTGTCATTCCAAATAATCTTGAATCACCCAGTAAATTTTCTATGTTTGTAAAAACTAGAGAAAACACATAATGCATAAAAACTAAGTTGTCTTTTTAACTATAGATTAGATTTTCAAACAATTTATAAAGATTTAATTTAGAATACATCTTTTTAAATTACATGAAAGCTCATTTTGTAAGCAGGAATTCAAAATAATCTTAAACCTTAGAATTATTTCCAAATTTAGAGTAGAGGTTTTGAAAAAATTATTTCTAACTTAGAAAAGATTCCATCTAGAAGTTGTAATTCTGGGTAACTAAAGTTTAATAAACATGACTGGGACTAGAATAGGAAGTCAAAGAAAAGAAATACAACAAAGGAAAATCTAAAGATAAAATACTGCTCCTCCATTTTGCAGCATTAAAAATATCATCTAAGAATTGGTTATTCAGAATTTGTCTAGAATACTTCTAGCTTTAGGTTACTAAAGATTAAGTAGTGACTACAAACTGTTAATTTCTTAAAACTCATGATAATAATTCACTATTTAACTACATTACTCCTATATTACTCATCTAAAATAAATCTAATACTGAATAAATTTGAGAACATCAATTTAGCAGGCATATTTTCAAATGTGAATATATTTCAATATATTCACTAGAATCCTAAGAAATGACATGTCACACACCAAATATGAAATTCAGAAGCCAAAAGTGACATTACTATTAAGGTTCTAATTTTTATTAACTATAATTTAAAAACTTACCACTTTTTAATGAATTACTATAACAATGTAAAATCACAAAGAAATCCCTAAGTTATATATTGTGACTATCACAAAGAATTATCAATGACGTGTTGAAAATAGCATGAACAGGGAGCTTCTCCAAAAGAAAGCATTTTAGGAAAAATAATATCAACTTTAGATAGATAAGTAAATAAACATATATATGAAGAAAACAGTATGTCCTTGAAAATGAGCTAAAACAACATTATTTTCTGACATTAAAGGTATTTAAGGCCATGAAGATATCAATTATGTTAGCAGAAACAATTCGACAAGATTCATTTCTTTCTACTTAAAAATTCTTCCATAGGCCAGCAATGTATATTAACTATAGAGTTAAAAGGTGGGGATCTTAGATGGAAGGCTACTTCCATAAAGAATCTAAAAGAACCAAGCTCATAAAAGCTAATAATCAAATAGTGGTTGATAGGAGCTGGGGGTGGAAGAAAGGGGAGATGCTGTACAAAGGTCACAAAATTTCAGTTATACAAGGAATATTTTATTTTATTTTATTTTATTTTTTTTTAATTTTTAATTTTTTATTGTGGGTTGTTCAAAACATTACAAATTTCTTGACATATGATATTCCACACTTTGATTCAAGTGGGTTATGAACTCCCACCTTCACCCCATACACAGCTTGCAGAATCACATCGGTTACACATCCATTGATTTACAAATTGCCATACTAGTGTCTGTTGTGCTCCGCTGCCTTTCCCATCCTCCACTCTCCCCCCTCCCCATCTCTCCCCTCCCCTCCCCTCCTCTCTCTCTACCTCCTCCACTGTATAACCCTGAGGGTCTCCTTCCATTACCATGCAATTTCCCTTCACTCTCCCTTTCCCTCCCACCTCTCATCCCTGTTAAATGTTAATCTTCTTCTCCTGCTCTTCATCCCTACTCTGTTCTTAGTTACTCTCCTTATATCAAAGAAGACATTTGGCATTTATTTTTTAGGGATTGGCTAGCTTCACTTAGCATAATCTGCTCTAATGCCATCCATTTCCCTGTAAATTCTATGATTTTGTCATTTTTTAATGCAGAGTAATACTCCATGTGTATAGATGCCACATTTTTTTTTATCCATT